AAAAAAAAAAAAAAAAAAAAAAAAAAAAAAAAAAAAATAAAGTGCAAAAGATAAAGAACCCGACGGGCAATAACACGTATATATACGGAGCGCCGGCAAAGATCCTTTGTGCGGCTCTCGTCGCGTGGGTCTTGCCCCTCGCAATCCTTTCTTTCTTTCTTTCTTCGCGTTTCTTTCTCCTCATGCGTGTCGCTTTGCCTTTTGTTATCTTTTTCGGAAAATAAGTGCACCGAATATTATGATCCGCGCGCGCGTGTACGCCTGTGTATATTGTTGAGCACTCGTTGAAATCGCGGAATTTGAGCTTCCGCGTGTAGGGGGGAGGAAGGGCCCTATACATAATTTTTGACGTTTTCGAAAACTCTGGTCCGACACTCTGCGAATAAACGAGTGGCTTTTTACATTAGTTTTCGGTTTGGATTTCAATGTAGAACATTGAGGAGTATAACCGTATTAATTGACACCTGCAGCAACTCAACTGTACTATTAGTATAATGTCTGCACTGTTATTACGGTACACGTATAGTATTTTATGATGCTACGACTTGTTATTTTTTGAAACGCGATTTTTGTTCAACGAGTCGTGCGTGGATCCTTAAAATATTATTATCAGTAAAAATGATAGTATTTCGCCATTTGTTTTGATTGCAAATATTATTTGTATTTGCTTGATAAACCATGTGATTAAATATTTTCTCACTCGTTTATTTCAAGCCAAACTCAACGGTATTACCATTGCACGGACTTTCTTGTGCGTTTTATACAATTATTCAACAAAAATTTAATTTTCAAATTAGGTACTTGCAATATTGGGTTATTAAAAAATCTATTTTCTAGCACTGTTACATATCTGACCATCAATGTTACTTAAAAAAAAATTTTTTTTGGAAACACATCTAATCTAATATATCTTACAATTGAAACGCGCGATTATTGAAATGATCTTTTCTATGTACATCGATCGAGTGCCCCAAAACAAAGCTCTTGATCACAAATTTTTCTAATTATTTATAAAAGCCATGATCACAACAGCAGTTTGAAGTTATTGGTTTTGGAAACGATTTGTTATATCTTTTAAAATTTTTATTCTGTTTTACAAAGTGCAATCTTTTAAAGATTTCTAGGTCACATGCTAATATAATTCAAGAGACTGAAAATACGCTTAGATTATGATTCTATGAATGAAACAAAAAAAAAAAGGGAAAAAATTAATCGGTCTGTATTCTCGATTTGTCAACTTCTCCTGCATTTACATCTCTAAACAGAGATATACCAAACCCTTCGTCACAGGAGGGGGAGTTATGAACCTGCACGTGCATAACACATTACACTGCTGCAGTGAACAAAAAAAAAAAAAATGAAAATGAGCAAAAATGAGTGTGTGTATAATACATGTACACATGTGTGTATTAAAGGGTTGGGAGGGAAAAAAAGGAAAAAGAGTAAGATCGAGGAGAATATGGAATGGAGAACGATCGGGGGAGAGCAGTAAAAGGAGGAACCGGTCGAACAATGGCCTGGAGAGATCAAAAAGAAGAAGAGTTGCCTCCTCTTTCTGTTTTTTTTTTTTTTTCTCATCCACCGGCCGGCTCTGCATATGGCCAACGCGCGGGCACGTATAGGCATACCCACGAGTCGCACAACCCCTTCCGAGTGTCTTTCTCTCTCTCGGCCGCCCCTTGCCTCCGGTGGTTTTGCGCCCATCGGCCCCTTGTTTCTTTCCTCCCTGCTCCCAAGGTGGTCCCCCCCCCTCCCCATAATTCTAAATATAGACGACTGCGGCTGAGAATAACGCGCGTGTGTATTTATACACCCGGAGAAGAACCTGACCAAAGAGCGCCATGTGTGTGTGTGTGTGTTATGAATTCATCCGAGGAGAAAAAGTGTATCTCCGTGTTGGCAAACGAGGGTTGAGCTGCTCGATGGGCAAACGGGTGGGATATTTTTGATGACGAGCCGTTTAGTTGTTGATGTCTCCTTTCGCGCGAGGAAGAATGTCCATGGAAAACTAAATAACTATTCGCTATGGGGGCATGTACCATTGGAAGCCGGTATTATCAACGGAGAAAAAAGATACATGCATTTTTTAAATGTTTATACATGTATAGACGGATCGGGTGCGCTTTCGAGCTCTCAATGATAATATTTTCCTACGGTACGTATTTCGATGAGTAGTTTTTTTTTCATTCCCTAATAACATTGATAACTTGGCAATCAAACGTTGCCCACAATGCGTCTATTTTTACTGACTCCATGTAACGTTAACATCATACAGCGTTGTGACCATGTCATTTATGTTTAATATTTTGCTTTAGGTCTAAACCAAGGATAGTTTAATGATGTAGGTTTAGTTTAATTTTTTTTAAACAAAGAATGATCGTATAGTAATCATTCACAATTTACAGCCAGAGTTTTTTATGTTACAGAATGTCATTTGAATCATAACCACGTGACCTCAGCTCAAATCAATAAGACAACGAATAAAAGGCTTCATTCGAAATTACATTCTCTTCTTCAAGATAGGATTGCAGCAGGAAAATTCATCCAAGCTATATTTTTTACCCCAAAACTAGGGTAATTTTTTCCCCTGATTGAGGAAAAACCTGGACGTAAAACTTTGAAATTGGGTTAGTTACAAAGATGGCAAAGTTATTTGTAAACCAAGGTTATCAATATGATAGGTATCCATATTATTTACTCATCGGGGAATGTTTACTCTCAATTAGGGGAAAACTTATAGTAGTTTCAGGGTAAAAAGTATATCTTTTTTAAAAAATGATCCTAAAGTTACGGTTAAACTTACAATTACGATTTGTCGGTCACAGCTTAATCGTTGCTTTTACGATGAAAATTCATTTAACTTTTTCTCTGTGTAGGGAAAGAAACAAGCTCTTAGTAGTTGTTGCGTTTTGCGTAACGATTGCGAGATGTTGCGATGAAACGATATTGTATCACCTACTTACGGTAAAAAATATCTGGTAATCATTTTGTCAATATGTAATTGACAAATTGGAAAAAAGAAATGATATCAGAACTGATTTGGAAGGTAAAATATACCAGCAAAATTTAGGTCCTGAATCACCACAACGCAGTAAAAAAATATGCGAGTCCTGAATCACTTGAGTCGGTCAACAGGATCTTCATGGTCGGATGTTTTTTCCAAAACTTTAGACCGTAAAACATGTTTGTCAAACCCATCGGAGAAAAGTTTATTACCAAAAAACTTCTCCTTTTGCCTACGAGGGAGCAAAATAATGCAATAAAATTTTTTTTTTCTCCGATTGTTTGCGTCAAAAGTCAGACGCTTAACATGCAGTATAAAACAAAGAGGACGAGAAAAAGGAAGAAGAGCCAAATAAGCTCGCGAAAACCGCAGTGGCTCATTATTCCGATTCTAATTCGAAATTGATTTGCGGATCATAAATTCGAGCGTCTGTTTGTATAACTTACTGTCGAGGAGTCTGGCGCGGTAGTTTTATTGCCGCAAACTACTATACAAACATAATAATATGCATGTGTGGGTGTATATGCGCTCGTTAAAACTGTCGAGAGTTACGTATACCATACAACATGCACTACGTCAGCAGATATTGTGATGTCATTGCAATAATATATGGCATACATAACGTTCTTGCATGTAATTAGTGACATGATACCTCCTTATCTGGTGTTAGCGATCCACCTGATTTTATACAATTTTTGCGATTTTGGTAATTAGAGGAATCGGCTGATTATTCATCCGATTTTTGGTTCCTACTACGGGATCTTTTAAACGGTAAACACGTTATTTACTCTGTAAATCCAAGTGCGACAAAGTGCGTAGTTAAAAGTGTCGATTTTTATAAAATGTATATGGCGGAAGCACTTGGTGCTTATGGTAAAGTGTGAAATATATATATGTTTGCAGATGGTTCGAAATTTTGTGTTTTAAGTAATGTAATTTAAGCACGTACGAATAGAAAATAATTTTATTCAATTGAGCTTGAATATGTTGAAAATTTCGTCTGACTGCTCGCCCCATAGGAATTGTCAAAATATTTGTGTCGGTATGTTTGAACAAGTTTGTGTGTTTTAGCAATTTGTTAAAAAATTGTGTTGGTCTTGGTGTTTCATAAACATTTCATCCAAAATTTATGTCATTTAAGTATTGCAACGACTAGTGTCTAGTATGAAAGTTTGTGTATTTTAAACGTACTAGAAACGTTTGACGTTCTTTTTGCGATCCATGTTATTGACACTATATACTTTTATAATTACTTGTAAAAAGAACCGTATTTATCATTAAGAACATTTTTTCTCTCATTTTTCATCTTTGCAAACGACCGTAGTACATTTTACATGTAAAACTTTTATGGTACCATAAATCGTGTAGTTTTAAATAATAATATTTTCATAAAAATGAACTACAGTAACAATTGATTAAAAATTTTTTTTTTTTTTTTTTTTTTTTCTTTAGTCTATTGTACAGGGAGCATGTACGGGGCCGTTTTTTTGGGACACAAAAACACATCTTGTATTTTGTCATACTCGAAAAATTTTGGGGCTTGGGATATGCAAGTTGCAAATGTCATCACATTCAAGGGGAAAAAAATTTGGCGTGTGCCATTTTTCCGACACATTTAACTTTCACTTTGCACGTATTGTGAATGAGCAATAGTAATTTGGAAACGCCTGTTTTCGTAAATTACAACTCCAAAAGTTTTCGCGTGAAACGTAATTACAATTAATCCACCAAAGTGATAGAAATGAAAGGTGTGCCATTTTAAAAGTATCTCAACCTACTGTGTACGTCACTTTGTTAAATTTCAGGTCTCTTTTTGCAATGCTAAAAGTCTGCTTACAAGATTCAAGTGGCATAATTGACGATGATTTTATTGAAGAAAAAAACCAGTGGTGATCCACCTTTTACTGAACATAGGTCGAAACTATATACACGGAGGGTAGCCGACCTATACACTTAAAATAAAGTCGGAGCGAAAGACGTAGCGCCTACCTTACTAGGGGAGGACATCATGTTGTCCAGCAGGGGATACCCGTGTATATCGTTGGGACTGATCTTCCAGAGCAGGCCCTCGATCTCCTGCTCGATCTTCCACCTGCGGTATATGCTCATGGTGACGACGCTCGCGCAGAACAGTATGACGGCCAGTACGCCCGCGGTGACGATGCTCCTGACGTGCGAGTCGTTCTTCGGGCAGTGCTCGTTCCGGAAGCCGCACCCGGGCTCGGCCTCCGGCTTGTTCTTCCCCGGCCAGTCTATCGCCTCCGACGGACGGTACGCCTGTGGGATCGGGTAACACGTCATATTTACATATTTATTTGTGGTGGTGGTGGTGGTGGAGGTGGTACCGACCAGAGTGTCGCCCTGGTGGAACTGGCCGACGGGCTTCATTTGAAAGTCGCAGGAGAAGTTTTGTATGGTGAAGGGATCCTTCCTCAGAGCCAGTACCGAAAAGTTGCCCTCCGAGTCCCCGTTCTTGTCGAGCTTTATCGTCGCGCCGCTTATACCTATTTTTTTTTTTTTTTTTTTTTTTTTTTTTTTTTCCTCATTACATATAGCACTTGACGAAATTGTTTCCTGTTTCAACGATGCTCGGTTAGAAAGAGACTAAAGTATTAAAAATAAAAAAAAGATTTAAATGTTTGCGTCGATACTTTATAAGAAACTTTATTCGGTAACAATACGTCGCTGTGTTTTTCGTTGAATACGAGCAATCATATGAAACAATTTCCAACAATTGCAGTACGTTACATTATTGGAAGGATTTTTTATTCTAAATTGTTTCAAATTGCCCAAGTCTAATTTTTTTAAGATTAACGACTTTTTATTATCATATTAACTGCATCATCATTTTTAATTATTATTGAAAAACAATATTTTTTGAACACTACAGGTAAGTACATGCGAATGGGAAATGTAAATAAAACTTAGACAAATATAATATTAAAATCGTTAAATTATATAGAGAGGATCGATGTTTTGAAAAAAGTGTTTTTTTCAAACCTCTGAGGATTTATGAAATACAATAGCTTTAAAAATTGTAAAAAAAACAAATTTTCTCCTTAAAAATATACCAAAATAGCCCTGAAAAAATATTGGTTAACGTGTCGTGTTGAAAATCATTGGTAGGGGTTTTTTTTTTTTTTTTTTTTTTTTTTTTTTTTCTAGAACAATTGGATTCTACGCTGCAAAATTACCAGAAGTTATTTAATTAAAAAAAAAAGTATACAATATCTCTCT